GCAGGTCACCAATTACAAGTTCCACCGCCGTTTGAAAGTAGTTGGGGAATTTTTGAATCCAAACAGCATTACATTAAACTGCTAAAGGACAAATAAAGGCAGTCTTTTCTTGGCCCTGTCAATTTGGACTTGCCAGTAACCACTGTTTAAGTCCAATGTGGTGAACACTACAGCTCCAGCCAATGACTCCAGGATTTCCTGAATATTTGGTCAATGGCAAGCCTGAGTGTGAGTAACAACATTTACCTCCCTATAATCCACACAGAATCTTGGTTTTACGAGTCGTTTTCTTCAGCACCAAGACAACAGGGGCAGCATACAGAGATTTAGATGGTCTTTTGCTAGCAACTTTGTTATGTGCTCCTTGATAACTTGAAGCTTGGGAGGGGAAACTCAGTAAGGCATCTGTTTAATGGGCATTACATGGCTGAGGAAAATGTTGTGTGTGAAAACATTAGTAAACCCAAATCTTTTTGTGCAGACATCCGTGTTTTCTTGTAGCAGTAATAAATAATTTTTCCAAAATTCATCCAGGTTGACACTGTTGACGGCAGCCTGTCATGTATCTGTCATGGCAATTTGGCTGAGAATTGTGTTTACAGGTGCAACAGCAGAAAATAACATAACATAGATGAACTTAGTGATGGCGAGCCCAGTGACGTTCGTTACAGTGTGACAAGCTGCAGGACCTGCCCCAGAGGACGATGGATTGCGTGATTCATTCGTTCTAAATCCAGATAAGACAGATACACACTTTTCACCTACCCTGGTAGTAGACAAGATACTGAACACACACATTTTGATTTTATTCCCCGGAACTGAACTCTTTTTGAGCTTTAAATTCTTCTCACAACTCCCCTATATAGAGGAGCATTCTATGTTTTTCTTTATGTTTTGTTTTATACACACAGGGCTAATGTAAATGTTTCATGATGCTAAAAAAGGCATTAAAAAGTGTGAAGTGTAAAACCAACACTAACTCCCTGCGTGGGTAATTCAAGGTGTATACCGTATTTTCCGCACTATAAGGCGCACCGGATTATAAGGCGCACCGTCAATGAATGGCCTATTTTAGAACTGTTTTCATATATAGGGCGCACCGGATTATAAGGCGCATAGAATAGAACGTGTTTACAACTGAACAAGGCTGGGAGATATTGTGAATATATAAATATAAATACGTATAAAACGTAACGTATAAAACTACAAAAACAAAAGTACATAAGACGATTTCCCCAAATAATAAATTATTTCTTTGACGTTTCTCTTAACTCTCAAAACGTAGTTTTATACGTAGTGCATTCACAATAACTCAACGTTGTTCAAACGTTAATGTGCATATTCACAATATCTCCCAGCCTTGTTCAGTTGTAAACACGTAAAAGAAACACAGTCTGATACCGCTAATTCAAACGTTAGTGCAGGGGTGCCCAAACAGTCGATCGCGATCGACAGGTAGATCGCTGACTGATTCTCAGTCGATCGCGAGATGTTTTGTCAATATGAAATACAATTGTAAAATAGAAAAGTGATTTCAATTTCATCTCATTGCACTGTTTCCCACACACGATACCTGTGTTGGGAGCCCAAGTATACTTCCGACCTGTGTGTATTTAATTTTTCATTTATTCATGAAATTGCTGCGTGCACGAGAGAGCGAGCGAGAGATAGAGAGAGAGAGCGCGCGCAAGAGAGAGTGCAGGCATGCGCAATGACGTGCAGGTAAAACCGGGGGGGTAAATGTTTTACCAAAAAGTCATATATAGAAACTATGCTACGAGTATTAAGCGCATTTGATGAAGCTGCAGCTACTTTTCTCTGCTCCTCTCTGCTGTCATGACTGTGAGCATCGCGGGGGACGAGACACACCAACAAACAGCGCAAACGCACACGCACACTTGCACTGGAGCGCCAGCCACCACGCGAACCTTTTTACTTTTTACTTTTAGTGCTACAGCACACAGTTGATCCGTGATCCGTACGGACCGAGGTGGGAACACACGTGACCCGGTCAAACAGTCGGTTGGACTTTACTCCATTCACTCTCACCGTGTCTGCAGCTAATTTAACAAAAGCAAAATCATCTCACAGCAGCCTGCTGTAGTCTGTAGTCTGCATTATTTTTTACAGAACTCTCATTTATTATTTTCTGTTTGTTGTGTGAGTATTAAATGCGTTTGTAGGCTGTTGGTAAAGGCTATGGCTCACTATGTGGACTGGTAGATCTCGGCAGACTGGTAACTTTAAAAGTAGATCTTGGTTCAAAAAAGGTTGGGCACCCCTGCGTTAGTGCATAACTCAACATTGTTCAGTTACGTATAACACGTAAAGCTCACTTTTTCAGTTCATTCCCCGTCCACGAATCCCTCGAATTCTTCTTCTTCAGTGTCCGAATTGAACAGTTGGGCGAGTACGGCATCCAACATGCCCGGCTCCCTCTCGTCATTATCCGAGTCAGTGTTGCTGAGCGCCGTGTACAACCAGTATGGATCAACCAATTAACCAATTGATCCATATATAAGGCGCTCCGGATTATAAGGCGCACTGTCGTTTTTTGAGAAAATTAAAGGCTTTTAAGTGCGCCTTATAGTGCGGAAAATACGGTACTCCTTAGGACCTAGATCGATGTTAGTATCTCATCTGTCCAACCAGGTCAGGACCCCCATGTGCTACAATTATATTTAAGCAGTCAGGCTATTTGGTTACCTCAAAGATCAGTATTTAGGCTACTTCTTTGATGTATACATTTCAGTGCCATGTTTATATCAGGGAAGTCTCGGCCAGATTTACACATAATAGGCAAAAGATTTTGAATCTATAGTATACAAATTCAAATTCCATATTACAGTGAACAAGATTTAAAAGACAACCCTATAAAAAGAAAAAAAACATTTTAGTCAAGAAGACAGAGTAAACTGTTTCAATGCACTTATTTATAACTAAGTCACTGAGTAATGGAGAAATGCAACAGCTATGTAAGCTTTAAATTAAACGTACCAAGTCTCATCTGAAAATCAACTCGGTGCATAACTTTCTTTGATCAAAACAGAGAAGGCTTTTAGAATGATGATGATGCACAGTGTAGGCTATGTAGGCTTTGTCTCACTCATAGACTGTAAATATTACTGGACGAACCCTGAGTGACGTCACCCGTCTTTACGGAGGCATCAAATGAGTCTAATTGACGGGCGCATCCATATTGGAATTGCAGTCTTATTGGGGTTTATACTTTTATACAACACAGTTAAAACTAATTATCTTCAACCCAAATATTTAATTAAAGTCTTAAAACTACACTTTTAAAAATATATATAATTATGGTTCTTAGTTATTTGTCAGAGCAGTTACTAGACTTTGTCAGGGTTAGCAGAGCAATACATTAGCCAAGTTTTATCATAAAATGTAAGAAACATTTTGAGGCTAATCTCTACATCATCTCTACATCTCACATTGTGTTACAAATCATTATTTGGGTGTAATTACATGTTTAAGGATAAGAAGTTTGTTTTAAAACAATAAAACATAGAGCTTTGGTGTATTTTTTCTTTTCGTTGATGTTGATAAAACTACTGTTAGACCATAGACTGAATAAATATGAGACATCCAGAAGAAATCAATATTACAAAGCATACAGTTCATGTTACTGTTCTGACAAAAAGAGTAATGTATGTGTCTTATATTTACTGATGTCAACAGCGATGTGGGTGAACATGACAATTGAAAAATAATTATTTTGTATTTATCATAAGATATTTGTTTTCTGTAGAACCCCGTGAAGTCATGGAGTCTGTGGCCAGTGACGAATGCCAAGTGTCAGCTGCACACCAAAAACTGTAAGTATTAGAAAAAATTGTATTTAAGACTGGTATCTATTATTATGACTTGCATCTACCTTGTTCAATATTATCCCTGCAGATGTGGCTAATAACAAAAAAAACACCCTGAGCTGTCACATGTAGTTAACTGTACATTTTGTCTTGTCTGAGGCATTAATTGAACATTTGTGTATTTCTCTTATAGACACAGTGTGGATTATTGGTGGCTTGTCCGTCGAGGTGCCCAGAGAGCTGCAGAGACAGAGGAAGAAACCTGGGCCTCAACAACATCTGCATTTGTTGGTTCTTCTGGGGTGGACTTCGGTTGAAAGGCCTGCTTCCCTTCTTCAACAACTCGCTGCGAGGGAGGTCTCCCCCGGATGGCCTCAGTGATGTCACCCACATGTTCCTGCATCGATGGCGGTCTCCATGCTTGAAATGCTGTCTAACCCTTACCTTCAGTCAACCTAGCAAAAGGCTGAGAGCTAGAGCTGAGGCGGGTTTTAAGCCTCCTGACTAACCGTTACACCGCGCCCACCTGTCAATCAGGTCAGCTACACGCCTTATTGTGAATAACTCTTATCCTTCATCAAATCAAAACTGATGAGTCATCAAAACATTCACCCCCCCCCCGTACAGTGTGAGAGACATGAGCTAATCACACCTATTTGTTTTTTTTGTACCAAGCTGTAAACATGTTAATCTCTGCTGTAAAAACAGGCTTTTTGAATGTGGTTTTTCAGATTAAATAAATGTTTATATATAAATGCACTCCTTTGTCTCTACTTATGAATATACATTTTAGATTTCAAATGACAAGACTAAAATGTGCATTAATGCTCAACTCAATAGCTTAGGGAAGGAAGTCTACTTTTACACAACTTTTATTCTTTTGACATTTTTTTTTACCAAATACTAATGCAGTTCATTTCTGAAAGTGGGATGGAACAGAGTCATTGCAAAAATATGCCCTTAAACACAGCCCCATTCTTAAATCAAGATACATCGAGAGTAAATAAGATCAATAACCTGTGAATAAAAACACAGTTAAAAATGATTTAGAAATGTAGTCTTCCCAGATCAATATCACATAATATTGACTTTCTCCCATCTAAACTGGACAAAGGGTTTTAAAGTGGGAAGAAAATGGTTTGATTGCAAGTTGTTTGGAGGAGATCTATTTTTATTTGAACAGCTGAAGCATGAATACAGTCTTCCAAGGTGCAAACCCTCCTTCTCCTGAAGCCTGTGGAGCTCATTGATGTACTGCCGTCTTATCTGCTCGCCATCTTCTCTCACCAGAACTTCAACTGTTGTAAAGTCATTCAGCAGACGCTTGAGCATGTGACATGGATCCAGGAGAACATGGAATTTTAGTGCGGGGTCTTCAAGATGGCAAAGAAAGAGAGAAAATATCAGTTATTCATTAAATAAATTTCAACAGTGTACTACCTAGACAACAAAGGTACAGCATTCAGGTAATCAATGTCTATTCAAAGTTAAGAAGACCTTATTGTAATCATGCTATTTTCAGCTCTCTCACTCACTTATACAATGATTTTCCACATAAAATTGCCTCAGATTTTGGAGGGCAAATTGAGCAGTTTATTGTGGATAGTACTTCATCTTTACATGAAACAAATATTACCTGAATTATTTAAATCATTTACAGGTCCCAACTCTCTGTGCTTTAGTACAGAACATACAGTAGCTCATTTATTATTAACATGAGCTCGGTACATGGCTGTATTCTTCAAACTATTTCTTGTACTTATGGCTTTATAGCTTATTTTCATTCCATGTTATTTATATATTTCACATTTCTACTGCTGTATTTTGTGTAAGAGCATCTGTAACGATTAAGAACTATATTAATAACCATATTAATTTTCCCTGAACTCATACAAAGAGACAAAAAAAAATAATTTGGTAACAGTTTCCACAAATCTGATTTTTATGTTCAAGCTTCAACATATAGCTGATCTCTGTCTGTCGACATTTTTAGTTTTGTACTTGTTATCACCTGTTTATGTTATAATAATAATGGCAGAAAATGTTGAAGTTTGAGTTTGTGGGCCGTCGACGTCAACCATGTAACGTTAATATCATCCTCTATAACATGTTTAACCAGCGGGTATCGTCTGATTAATGTTGAACTTTATACACAAAGTTTGTCTTTTAATGTCGACATTTACGTGGAGTATAACGTTCCTCATAACGTCAGATAACCATATTTACAATCTGCGGTTAACCACCGAGGTGGACCTTTAGTTTTTGACATCACACAGACTCTGTCTTTTCAACATCTTGCCAACAAAAGTTTCTAACACTTCAGAATTACATTTTCCCCCAGTTTAATAGTCCTGGCTAGCTATGTTGCCATTAGCTTCTTTGGCATGAATTGGAGTCTTGATCGGCTAAACCATTGACCGTAAATAATGGGCTACACTGAGTACAGTTAGCCGACTGGTTTACAAGCTTATGCTAAACAAGCTAGGTCCGTAAATATAAATACCGACACACGAGTATGCAGTAAATATAACACTACTGTAACACTTACCGAAAAAAACTGAAGCATCAACTTCTTGGATGGTCTGTTAATCGCACAGCAAGCCATGTATGTTGTCAGATATGCGTTAAACAAACTCTCCAAACAAAGAAAAAAAGACGAGAAATCAGACTGATCAAGCTGCTACCTTTCCTGACCTGACAGACAGATGCAGCTTGCAGAGCTGTCAATCAAATCTGCCACAACCCTTATATGGGCATAGCCATTTTCCTTAATACAATAATATCCCCCCCCCACCCATCCACAGTGGGAGCACATTCGTTTTTTGTACCAGGCTGTAAACATGTTAATTTCTGTTGTAAAAACAGGCTTTTTTGGCTGGGGGCTTATGGCACTTCCGGTGCTTCTGGAGCCAGCCTCAAGCGGACACTCGACGAACTGCAGTTTTTTTTTTACTTCTGCATTGGCCTCATTTTTCGAGACCAGAGGTTGCCGCTTGGTCTCACTCAGCACAAGTAATGACTGTCAGGTTAGATGGCTGAACAAGCTCCTTAATTGTTGTCTCGTGTAACTGACTATTGACTGACAGCACTGTCCGAAGCCTGGCAGGAAAGACACTCCAGTGGATGGTTTATTTTTCTCTGAATGTTTAAAAGTCTGAGATTTTCACACCTTAGATGGTGAAGAAAGCAATCAGTCGTTGGTCTAACTGGTAAAACATGAGACTTATGTAGACTAGGGTTGGAGTCTGTACACATTAAACCTGAGCCTGTTCATTAAACTGACACTCCGGACGGTGAAGTAAAATCAATTTCTTTCATATTTCGATGTACAATGTTGAAATGAAAAGACAACTGGACTATTGACTGCTTATGAAAATGGGCACATCTGTTAAGAAAATGATAAGCCAATGAAACATTATAACATTAATATACAAAAATAAAAACCCTAATTTTGGTTTAAGTAGGTCTCATCAGTGTATAGAAAATGTATAATATTACAAATATTTGGAATGGATATTGATTCACGCTTTTTGCTTGAATTGAAATTTTTGCTTTTCATTTTAACTGGAAAATTATCAAAGAGATGTCTTTCGTTGGGGTCTGCACTGAAGCATTTGAACTTTTATATGAATAAAAAAATGTTTAAATTAGGGTGGTATTATGTGACTTATTAAAGTTTAATAATATTTAAATTCATTGTTAAACCCTAGTTTCAATCGGACACTGCATGAATGCTTATTTGCCCAGCTGTAGAAACAGCAACAATTTCTAATTGAGGTTTTACCACAAGAGCTGCTTTTCAGAACCTGTGTTAATCAAACAATTTTGTCAGGTAGGTCTCTCAGCAGTCCCTCTGCAGCGCCCCCTGTATCCTATGAGGTAATGAATGTACTGTTCTGTTCACCTGTGCATCCACAAGAAGGTGCCTCATCAGGGTCATGGACTTCTGCATTGATTCCTTCTCAGGAGGGTGAAATTCAGGCTCCTCCTGCTCAAGGGGCTTGGATCCAGTCACCATGAGGCTCGCAATCTGGTCATTCAGGCTGTTCAGAGACTGCACAGCTAGAGGAAGGAGCAAAAAGAAACAGCTTTACTTAGGGCTGTAAGCAAAAGTGTATTTGTTCTACTTTGATATAGATATCAGTGATGATTACTCTGGTGGATTTAAACTAAATTGCAGTTTTTTACTAAAACAATAGCAGAACACAAAAGGAAAAAAAAAGAATAATTACATTTTTTATATGTCCTCCCTGTCAAGTGCAGACAGGCTTAACTGGAGCATAAAATGCTTTCAACACCAGAGCAGCACAATGCACGCACGCACGCACGCACGCACGCACACACAATAATTACTTCTTCTTTCATGGATGTACCAGCTTCTTTACCTAATAGTACCAACAGTGATAATACAATGCTAGAAGTGAGATTCCTGCTGTCACACTGTCAACAACTTTCTCTGTCAACTCCCTTTCTGGTCCATAATGTTCCATATCAGCCTGTGAGCCATCCTGTTTTTGTTTTCCTATATGCCCTTGTGTATCCTTGGCAAACCTCTCTCCAGGTTTTCTCTCCAGTAAAGGCTTCCACATTACAATCTACCCTCCCCCATTTCCTCTTTTTAGCACACACACATACAGACTTCCTCACCCTCTTCCATTTAACATGAATCCCCCTCGGACCTTGAAAGGTCACCAAAACTATTTCCGATCCTGACCACTTGGCCGATATGTTGGATAAATAAAAAAACAGGAGAAAAGTCAAGTTGAAATTTTTTATGCTGTTTTAAATAAGCATTATTTTTTTCATGTATTATTATGCTAACTCCAAATGTCCCGTTATGTATCATTACATTAATTGAACTTCTCTAAAAACTGGATTTTACAGCTTTGTCAGTTATAAAGGGCTGTAGTGATTAAGAAGTGACCATCTGTATAAAGATTATTTGATATACACGCTAACCCACTCTTTTTTTTTTTTAAATCATGGACTGACCATACACAAAACCATGTGCAAAAAAGAGACAGCTAGAATAGTGTGTTACATAACTGACAAATTATTTCACCTTTACTTACATTTCCAAGCAAACAAGTTCTGAATAGGAAATTTGACAAGCTGGAACTTAAGGCCTCAGAGATAAGAAGTGAGAGAGCTGAAGAGGACAACTATGTCCCCTCCAGGTGACAGTTGAACAGACATTCGATGTTTGAAGACGTGTGTGGGCTGGTTGTTACCTGCAGTCACAGACAATGCAGTCAGATTACCCCTCCAACAACCACTGTCTAATACAGACATGGGTGGACGTCAGTGAACTGGTGAGGCAGTGGAAGTGTGTTCTCATACATCTTTCACTTTAGATTCAATTATGGTCGTGGACATGGATATTATTTGATGAATAGCAAAAGAATAGCTTTTGGTTGTATGAGCCAGCAAATCTTCAAGATGGTTTGTAATTAATTTTATCTCAGACACAAAGAATGCAACAGCACTGTCAATAAAATAATTTGGCTCCATTTTAGCTATGTTAGGCAAGAAGGTAAAAGGGTGACCAACATAGAGACACACACACACACACAGCTAAAATTATAATTATATATTATAGATTGGGAATGTAATGTAATACCTCCCAATACAATATAACACAAGACAAAAAATAAACAGATATACTGTATGGACAATTTAATCCGTCAAAAATATATATAGCAATACTCTTCTTTTAACCAGCAGAGGCATTTGACTATTGTTTCCGCTCGCAGCACTAGTCAATGTCACTTTTTATGAAGACAAAACGATGAATTGTTTTATTAATAACTAACAGGTATACAACCTCAAAATTAAAAACGTATATCTATATAGAATAATAAGGAAAATTTATATTTTGCATATTAATTGACAGATAATTTAAATACAAGAATAATACTGATTCATGAATTGACTATAGCTCAAGTCTTTTTTCCAAAAAATTGGAAAAATTAAAAATCCTGATAAAATTGTATTTAGAACCCAATGTTGTGATACATATAACATAATTTGTTAAATGTATCCTTTAATGGCCATTAGGTATTATATAACTTGGTAATCTGGTGGATACAACTGCTCGATCAGGACAGTCTGTTGCAGCATGTTATTATTATTATAACATTTAAAGGCTTTAACTGACATTTATTTTCTACTGATGTTGTCAAATCTTTACTTTCAATACTTTCCATCAAATATTCTCTATTATCAAAGTAAATCAGTGCACCGTGTCAAACGAGCAAATGCAGAGACATTGTTATCAAGGTTATGATGAAAAATAAAAACTACGATTTTAATTTTGTCTTCATCTGCAAACTAAAATATATTTTTACCGACAGCTTTCCTTCAGCTAATCCAAAAACAGATGGAAAAAGGCAAAGTTATGGAGACTGCATCAGTTAGAGTAAACTGGGTGCAAAGAAAAAAGAAAGCTGTCATGCTATGTCAGCGCTTTCACATTTACCGTCTCCTGTCCTCTTTCTGTCAACTGTTTTTTAAAATAGATATAAATAAACATATATATATATATATATATATATATATATATATATATTTATATTATGTCTCACGGGTGGAGGAAAATCTCAAAGTGCCTTACATGCCCTAGCATGAACTAAATAGAAAAATGAGGAGCAGGGTACATCACAGCACCGTCAGCTCTTTAGCTGTTCAGGAGGGAGAACTCTGGGTTACAGGGTAAATAACATGCAGACTGCCAATGTAAAAACTTGGAATGAGTGTCTATGTAACAAACCTGAGAGGATAAGGTAGCAGCATTTGGGCAGTAGTCAATCTAAAGTCTGTTAAAAGTGGCTTATGTCATGGTATTCTTCCCAGCACACTTACAGGTGTAAATATATTGAAAAACATGGAAAAATTATAATCCAAAGTCAATTCTTTTGTGCGTTTCTGATTTCAGACTTACATTTACTACCATGCACCGAGTTGTGCGAGGTCAAATTCATCTGAGTTTTGTAAAAAGACATCCAAAAACTACTATGATCAACATAACCTTTAATGAGTATGTGATTTTGTTTACAGTCATAGTAGTTCTCTCTTCAAATCATCATGTTCATTAATTGAAATGCACTGTGCAAGTGAAATTTTATATTCTGTGTTAGAAGGGAATGCATGTCTCATTTCAGATGTCTTAAAATAAATTCACTATTTTTACTATTGTTGTTTTACAATGCATGAAGTTATGTCTGCCAACCTATTGCCCAGGTTTACATTTTATATATCTACAAGATGCTACTGTATATAATGTGTCGCTGTTAATGTATTGCGATCATATTCAAACTAAGCAGTTTTTTCTCTTTCTCTCTAGAGTCCTTAAAAAAATCTACTGGAGGCTGTAGGGGTTTTGAAGAGCTCAAACGCAGGCAAAAATTATCTTGGGTTTTTATAGAGTCAATTTGGCTTTTAAATCAATATTAATAATTCTGATTCATTTATTATTAATATAAATTAACAATATTATTAATCTGAACTGATGACAACGGGTCACCACCCTGAAATCAGGGAACAATAACCAAATTAAAACCACATGCGGTGATGAAGGGCCCTCGCACTTCGTGCATGTCGGGTGTGTCGTGACCGCGGGAGTGCAGCAGAAGCAGAATGTGTCACACACCGAACTTCCACCAGATACGTGTGCATTGCGTGCCAGGGGCAACCTCCGGTCTCAAAAAATGAAGCTAATGCGGAAGTACAAAAAACTGCAGTTCCTCGAGGTTCCGCTTGAGGCTGGCTGCAGAAGCGCCGGAAGTGCCATAAGCCCACAGCCAAAAAAGCCAGTTTTTACCACTGGAATTAACATGTTTACAGCCTGGTTCAAAAAACAAGATATATCTGATAAGTTGACGGCCCCTTCTCCTCACACTGTGCCCATATAAGGGTTGTGGCAAATTTGATTGACAGCTCTGCGTGCTGCATCTGTCTGTCAGTTCAGGAGCAGGTCAGGAGCATAGACTGTAAAAATAATGGACGGGACAAGGTCCCCGGTCTAGTGAAGCTTTTATTTTTAGAGCTCCCCCTACTGACTGGCTGCAGTATAGGTCATAAGCCCCGCCTCCTCAATGATAACAGACGGGATGTGGGTCAAACTGTAAAGCTAAAATACTCGTCACATAATTTTTTTCCAAACCTAAACTCTGCTGTGATCATTAGTTATTATCACCCTACATTGTGTTCAAGTGCTCATTTTTCTGTGAAGTTTGTTTTAAATAAGTTATTTGAGGTTGAAAAACGGGATTTTATGTCATATTTCACGATGATTGACAGCCGCCGATCTTGCGTAGCTCTCTTTGTGAATAACAAAAGTTACGTAGTGAAGGAAAGCCGAGACGCCATTGAATTTTTCCGTTCAGTTTTTTCGTCTTTTTTGAGCTGGCAAAATTAGTTGTTCTGCAGTAAACTGTTCTAACCGACCTGTTGGATCTAAGGGATCTTTGCAGTTTTTTCTGTAAGTAAAAAAGTGTGATTTATGTGTCATTGTTTGGTTAAAGTCGTTATCTAGCTAGCTAACTACAACGAGCCAAATGCAACGAAATTTCGTTCTTATCTGCACTGTAAAGTACAAGTTTGAATGACAATAAAGAAAGTCTAAGTCTAAGTCTAACACATAAGCAGTCTAAGATTAGCTGAAATGTTGTAAAGCTAGGTTACTTATGCGGCATGATTTATCTTTTTATTTTATTTTATTAAATGAGCACACCTAATAACTGACATGCTATGTTTCTTGATATTGTTATATTGTTATTGTGATTGAAATTGTATTTAAAACCAAGAATCGTTATAAAAATTCGCTCATAGATGCGGTTCATTGACTGTACAGTTATTTTATAGTAAAAATAAATAAGTCTGGTAAGGTCTCAAAAAAGTATCGAGGGTAAAAACAAAGTCACATAATTGTAATCTGGCCTGCATCATTACTAATGTGTGCATGTTTACAGTCTGAGTGATAAGTGGGCTATACCGAGAGTAACAGGTTTTACTTTCACCGTGCAGGCTGAAATTCATAGTACTATATACGAGGGTAGAATATT